TGAAACTGCCACTGAATGGACCCAATTGCCACTTGGTCTGACACTTTCACAGATCATTCTTAGGGGGCAAAGCACTCCAAAAGTTCTTCTTTCCTCACATTTCAACTTGGTTAGAAGGCGAGTGAAACCTATTGTAGAGGAGCATTGTGTCAATAACAGTACTACCCTTTCCAGCATTACCCAGGACTCAAAAAATAGCTGGCTACAGTACAGCCATTAGCTGTGTCTCTCAATTAAGGGGTCACATACATGAATTCTGACAAAGCTAAGAGAGTAAAAGGCTTGTGCCTTCAAAGTTAGAGTCTCATGTCCACCTCATATTTTACACTCCCAAAGCCACAAAAATGCATTTGGCCCAATCATTTTACATTTGTGATTGATTTAAATGCAATAATCTAAAATGCTGTTTTATATAGAATAGATATAGAAATATTTCTAAGTAGCTTTTTAAAAATCTGTGCACTCGTGTTAATTTCAGCATTATTTAGAATTGTGGGAAGTTGGAAATAATTTAAATGTCTAATAGAGGAATGATTAAAAAATTGTAGAGAATTACCTTGTTGTAATATTAGGAGCCATTAATGTAATGGTCATGAAGTTTACAGGGTAACAGAGAAGAATAGTCAGATTAAAGATAAATTAAAAAAAAAACAAACACACACACACAGCAAATACACATAATTAAACTCTGAAGAAACTTGCCTGTGAAAAATGCCCAACATCATTAATGATCAGGGCAATACAAATTAAAACCACTACACACTCACAAGAATGGATAAAATAAAAAAGAGCAGCAGCACTGAGTCTGTGAGGTTGTGGAGTAAACTGAACTCTGATGCACTGTGAAACCGTTCAGCCACTTTGGAAAATGGTTTGGACTTTTTTTTTTTTTTTTTATAAAGTTAAACATACAGATCTTCTGCTCTATGACCCAGCACTTCTACTTCCAGGTACTTATTTAAGAAAAACAAAAATATATCCATGATTGTACAAGAATGTTCATAATTATTTTATTCATAACATCTCCAAACCAGAAAGATTCCAAATGTTCATTAACAGGTGAATGAATAAACAAATTCTTACGTATTCTTATACTGGTATACTAATCAGCAATGAAAAGGAACAAATGACTGGTTCATACATGATAATATGATAAAGCTAAAAAACAGACTGAGTAACAGGGGCCAGAGACAAATGAGTATATACTTTTTATTCCATTTATACGAAGTTCTGGAACTGGCAAAAGTACTGAAGGCTAAGGCTGAAGAAATAAGTTTAGTGATTGCCTGGAGGAGGGGGCCAAGGGTACAAGGAAATTTTGGGGAGTAAAGAAGATGTTCTAGATCTTTAGCACAGCAGTGACTACCTTGGTGCACACATTTGTCAAAACTCATTGACCTAAATACCTAAAATGTGTGAATTTTAAAGCATGTAAATTATACTTCCATAAAGGTGAGACTATATATATGTGTGTGTGTTTTGTGGTATGTATATATATGATATATAACACACATATATATATATTTACATACATATACATGTAAATACACACATTGCTTGCTTAGGGGAAAAATCTAGACAGAAATATACAAGAATGTGAAAAGTGGTTGTGTTTCATGAATGAGATTATAGATATTTTTCTCTCTTCCTAGATTTGCCAAAATTTTGTCTGTATGGTTCTATTTTTATATAATAGAATAATAAATGTTCATTTAAAAAAATCTGAAGCTGCTGGAGGCAAGCACCTATGGTTGTCTATAACACTCCAGGTTTTATTGTACGCTTGTGTGATGAAGTCCTATGGATTTTTTCTTATACATCCACCAATCTAAAATTTAAAGCCTGGCTCAAATCTCACATCCCCTACTAAGTCATCCATAATGTCTTTGCCCAAAACCAGTATTGTCTACAATCATCCACCATTTTCTCACATACAGTCTAACCTCAGTTCTGCATCATCTCCCATCTGGAACAATTCAGTTCTTGACCAGATTGTGTATGGAAAAAATGCCTCCATTGTTCCAGACCTGACAACCTTTTCATGCTGATACCTGTATGATTAGTCTTGTGTCTCAGGCAACAGAAGAGAGAATGCACAAGTATGAGTCAGTTTCTGCTAAACTTTGAGTTGTTAACATCTTAGGAAACTGTGCTATGAATATTTTTTTTGCTTTGTTACTGCTTATTATTATTGAACTAGAGGCCCAGTGCACCAAATTCATGCATGGAGGTGTGTGTCCCTCAGCCCAACCTGCACCCTCTCCAATCTGGGACCCCTCGGGGGATGTTCGACTGCGGGGCCTAAACAGGCAGTCGGACATCCCTCTCACAATCCTGGACTGCTGGCTTCCAACTGCTCACCTACATGCCTGATTGCCCCTAACTACTCCCCTGCCAGCCTGATCGTCCCCAACTGCACTCCCTTGACAGCCCGGTCACCCCCAAATACCCTCCCCTGCATATTCCCTCTTTATTAGATAGGGCTTTTTCTTTAATATATTGGACAGCCCTAACTGGTTTGGATCAGTGGATGGAGCAATGGCCTGTAGACTCAAGGGTCCCAGGTTCAATTCCAGTCAAGGCCATGTACCTTGGTGGGGGGCACATACCCAATGGGGACTGTGCAGAAGGCAGCTGATCGATGTTTCTCTCTCATAGATGTTTCTAGCTCTCTATCCCTTTCCCTTCTTCTCTGTAAAACATCAATAAAATATATATTAAAAAAAGAAACATAAGATTCCTCTATATCTGCCTGGCTGGTGTGACTCAGTGGCTGAGAACTCAGGCTGGGTCGGGAGGGGATATCTGCGTGGGTTCGTGCACGCCTCTGCCAGCCTGAGACCCCCGGCTGGGAGCTCGGCCCGATTGCCATGTGAGTGGTGGGTGCTGGCGCCACAGCTGGCCTGAGACCCCAGGCTGGGGGTGTGGACCCAAACCATCACTTGGTGCTGGAGCATTCCCAAGTGGCTGCAGGTGGGGCAGAAGGTCCCTGTGTCACTATGGTGACACGGGGACGTTCCTGTCCTGCCCCCAGCCACTTGGCGCCTGCACTCATAGGCTCTGAGTGGCCAGGGGACATTCTGGGAACCCTGCTGCTTAGGGCCTAAGGACCTACAGGCTAGGAGCAGCCTATGTCCAGAGGATATTCTTGTTGCCTGGGAAACCCAAGCCTCCTTCCTGCTCTCTGTGGCCATAGCCATCTTGGTTGGGTTTATTTGCATACTCACTCTGATTGGCTGGTGGGCGTGGCTTGTGAGTGTAGCAGAGTGATGGTTAATTTGCATGTTAATCTTTTATTATGTAGGATTCCTACAGTAAATCACCATGGGTCCTAACAAGGTTAGTGATAACAGCAAAGTGAAAAGGGAAGTTGTGAAAACAATGATAGAGCTTAAAAAAGAAATAATTACAAAGTATGATAGAGGTGTTTGTGTGTCTGATCTGGCTACTGAGTATGGCCTGCTGAAATTGACAATTAGCACAATTTTGAAACATAAAGAGGCCATCGAGAATGCTGATGTTGATGAAAGAACAATTACAGGCAATTGAATTTTATTTCCTTTTTGTTAAATTTTCATTTACATTTCATGTCCTTTTTGTTTTTAAAGTGTTTATTTATAGATTAAACAGTGCATTAGACACGCTCTATACATAAGAAAGGTTAAAACAGGGAATCATCTGTGGTCTGGAACAGATTAATTCAATTTACATTATTTCTAATGGGGAAAAAATGATTCGGTTTTCAAACCCATCACTTCTCAAACAGCCTCCTGGAACAACCTAAGTTTGAGAACCAAGGTTTCACTGTACTATACCTCCTTAACCACATCATGTGCTCACCAAGGGATGGAATAATATCCTCATTCTTTGTATTCCCAACAGCCTCTGGTGCAGGAAAGGCACAGAAATTTGGAGAAAATATTGATAGACCGAGCTGGCCTAGGGTCTCTATGTACAGTGACACAGGCTGTGCACGGCACAAACTCTAGGCAAAGGCATGAACGGCTCCCCTGCGGCACAGATAGCATCCTCCGGAGTTACACAAACACAGTCCTGGGTCAGAGTCCCTGTCCCACCACTTCCTAGTTTTTCAACCTTGAGCCCCTTTTCCTTATTTACATAGCAGGGTTGTTTGGAATGACTAAATTGAGATAGTGTGTGTTCAAAGCCTTCTGCAACTATAATAGAACACACTTTACATTGTGAGTTGTGATGCTTCTTATAATGAATCTGGTCCCTGCCTTTCTTAACCCTTTACTTACTCACCAGCTTTCACTCAGTTTCCTAAAAACTGTCAAATGTGTTCCTGCCGCAGGGCCTTTGCACATGCTGATACCTCTGTTTAGAAGACACTAGTGCCCACCCACATCTTCCCTCAGCGAGTTCCTTTGGGTAATGCAGATTTCCATTCCAGTGTCACCGGAGGCTTAACCTAAGCATCCTAAAATAGCTTCCTCCCCACTATCATTTTCAATCTCATCTCCCTGTGTTATTAGTACCTGAAATTATGTTGTGCAGAAAGTATATGTCTATTTTGTTCGCTGCTGTACCTCCAGCCCCGGGAGTGTACTAGGTGCTCAAAAATGAACAAATACTCATTGATAACGAGGTGACACCATTTATTCAGTTCAGTCTGCCAACTGTTTTTCCAAAAACAAGAGCCTGTGAGGCAAACACGACTTGTTCCCACCTCTGCTGAAAGGGGGAACCCACCCCGGCAGCCGGAGGAATTTGCCCGAGACGTGCTTGGCAGCCACAGGTCCAAACATTTGCCACTGACGCTGTGCTGGGTAAGGCTCCAAGTCAGCCACCGTGCGGTGAGGACACGGGGAATAAGGGGAGCATTGTGTGGCCCACGGAGATGGAGGTTCTGAGAAGGGCTCGGGGAAAGTACCCCCTCTGAGGGGACACACCTCTTCCAGCCAGGTGCTTTGTTCCTGTCTCTTTTCCTCCTTTCTTTTCCGGACGGGTAGCGATGAAATCAGGCCAATCAGCCTCACCTTTGTTCCTCGCAGCTCTCAATGTGGGGTTTCTTTAAAGTTCTGCTGCCTCGGAGGAAGCCCTGCCAGCGCCACAGTGGAATTTTCTAATCCATGCCAAAGATGGAGCTCATTAATTTTCCTGCCTGAAAGAAAGAAAACACTTCTTTTTAGGACCTGGCGTGCTCAGTGCTCTGCTGAAGGAGAGCGAGGCCTCTCTCTGCGAGGAAGATTAATCTAGGTTTTTAGGTGGGTCATTCAGGGAAAACCCAGCACATGGCAAAGAGCTCCAAGGCCTTTGAGGCCCCTGAGCCTTATTCACATCCCTGGCCCAGTGCTGCCCCTGGGCTGAGGGCCGGGCCGGGCTGCTCGGAGACTTGAGCAGAGGCAGGAATGCACCTCCATCTCCCGTTAAAGTGTCCACCCAGTACATTTCCAGAAAGTTCTGTTGCCTTCTCTCTCTTCCTTCCTCTGTTGGAATGTGCATGACTTCTGGAGGGGGTCACACCCAAGACCCTGCTTTCAAACTGGAAATCAGGTGGGCCATCCCCAGTGCCTGGACCTGACACTGCCAGGTGAATAGCCAGAATCTTTTTACACAGTGGAAACAGGGTGACACTTCATTGTCTATTAAAATAAGCAATGTGTATTTATTAACAGAAACTAATGTAGAAAGGAGAAAGTGAAAAATATCCCATGGGGCAGTTGGGACTTCAGGTGATTTTCTACATTTTTCTTGAGATATTTTCCTGTGTTATGTGTTCTGATATGTTACTCTTATGTCATAAAAATAACAAGGAAATGGTTTCTTTTTTGTTTGTTTGTTTTTGTTTTGTTTTTAGAAAATCTGTCTTTGCGGATATATTTTGGAGAAGAATGCAAAATTCACACGGATCTTTAATTTACCAGGTGTACTGGTTAATAATGTGGATTTTGTAATAAAAGAAAACACAATCATTTCAAGAGAAACATTAAAACTGCTTTATTCAAAGTCATGTCTATCACTAGCTACACATTTCCCCCATCTTTCAGGTAATTTGTGGATACCGTCCCAATAGAATTTTTCTAGTTTTGAGGTAAACCATTCAGAGACCAAATTTTCCATTTCTCTGTATGTTTTGAAGTGCTGCTCAGAAAGTGCGTGTGCCATTAATCGGAACAAGTGGTAATCTGAAGGAGCAAGGTCTGGTGAATACAGTGGGTGGATTAATACTTCCCAGGCAAGATCTTTAAATGTGTCTTTAACTGGTTTTGTGTGATGGTGTGTTATCAAGAAGCAAAATTACTTTGCCATGTCTTCTGGCACATTCTGGTCATTTCACGATCAAAGCGTGGTTCAAATTGATTATTTGTTGTCAGTAGCAATCAGTATTAATGGTTTTACCTGGTTTTAGAAGCTCATAATACACCACACCTTCCTGATCCCACCAAACGCAGAGCATTGTCTTCTTTCCGAAGCGATTTGGCCTTGCAGATTATGTTAATGGTTGACTTGGATCAACCCATGATTTTGTGCATTTGGGATTCTCAAAATAAATCCACTTTTCATCACCAGTCACAATTTGATGCAAAATAGACTTTCTTTTGTGCTGTTGAAGCAACATTTTACCAACAATTTTTTGGTTTTCCATTTTTCTTTTGTTCGGCATCCATTTTCCTTCCTTTAAAAATCTTTCCCATTGTTTGCAATCGATCAGAAATTGCTGAGCAACGTTTAATCTTTCTGCAAGTTGTTCTTGAGTTTGACACACATCTTCATCCAATAATGTTTGTAATTTTTGGTCTTCAAACTTTTTCGGTTGACCTGGATGCTCTTTGTCTTTCACCTAGAAATCATCATTTTTAAAGTATTTAAACCAGCGTTCACAAGTATCTTGAGATGGAGCATGTTCACCATAAGCTTCCTGAAGTATACGATAACTTTTTCTTCAAAATAAAGTAATGAATTAAAACTTCCCACAAATGCTCTTGTTTTTTTTGTGTGTTTTTTTTGGCACAAAACTCGACATTTTAAAGTGTAAAAATATCTATGATGTTAACACCTTCAGCAAATTAGACATATGAAGTTTTGAAGCTTGCTGTCAATAAAACAAAATAGCATAATACCTTTCTGAAACACTCTCCCCTGTCATTAGAGGCATTTGGGTGAAATAGTTTAAGAAGCATAGCATGCTGAATCAGTAAAACTTGAGTGTGAATTAGTCTACTTCTCTCTCTCTCATGCATACACAAGCATGTACACACACACACACACACACACACACACACACACGCCACTGAGATAACACCTAGAACTCTGTATGTCTGTAACTCACAATGAAATGGCACTATAAGAAGGAAGGAAAGTTGCCTAAATTAAACTGGCTAACTGACTTCTGCCCAGGCCTGGATTTTTTCTTTCTTTCTTTCTTTTTCTTTTGATACCCTCACCTCAGGATATTTTTTCCATTGATTTTTTTAGAGAGAGTGGAGGGGTAGGGGTTGTAGAGAGAGAAACATCAATGTGAGAGAGATATCTCAATTGGTTGTCTCCTGCATGCGCCCCTACTCAGGCTGAGGATAGAGGCTGCAACTGAGGTACATGCCCTTGACTGGGAATAGAACCCAGCACCCCTCAGTCCTCAGGGTGACACTCTAACCACGGAGCCAAACTGGCCAGGGCAGGTCTGGATTTTTCTGACCACAGTGACCAATAGCAATCTGAAGAAGAGTGTCAGTGGGGTGACTAGCTAAGTTTTCAGTCTCTCCAAATAGAAAATTTCTGCAGCACACATTCAGATTGGAAATTGAGGGTTTTGCGAGCCGAGACAGTCTGCTTGATCTATTAGCTGGTTGTAGGGCTTGCCAGGCCAAAGGCAGAAAGCTGGACTCAATCGCCCTACCAGTCATTTCAGGATTTCTTTTTTTACTTCTCGTTTAAAGACTCTCTTCAAAACTCTTGATAATGATGTTTTTAAGCTGATTAACAGGGTTTGAGAAGAGCACACGATGAGTAAGTGGCTGAGGAAAAGACACAGAAGAAAGCTTTAGGAAGGAAGGAAGGAAGGAAGGAAGGAAGGAAGGAAGGAAGGAAGGAAGGAAGGAAGGAAGAAAGACAGGCAGAAAGAAAGAAAGAAAGATAAAAAGAAAGAAAGAAAGAAAGAAAGAAAGAAAGAAAGAAAGAAAGAAAGAAAGAAAGGAAGGAAGGAAGGAAGGAAGGAAGGAAGAGGAAGGAAAGGAAGGAGAAGGAAGGAAGAAAGAAAGAAAGAAAGAAAGAAAGAAAGAAAGAAGAAGAAAGAGAAAGAGAAGGAAGGAAGGAAGAAGGAAGAAGGATGAAGAATAAGAAAAGAAAGAAAGAAAGAAAGAAAGAAAGAAAGCAAGCAAGCAAGCTTTTTTAAGTCTGGAGGAAAGAACCCAGAGGAGGGGATAGAATAATGATTTTTAAGTGCCAGGCACTTACTAACGCACTCCATGAACACTTAGCAGGGAACACAGTGAGGTAGGAGTGATTTAGGACAGACATAAGAAAGGAGTTCCTGAAGCTAAAAACAGCTCATTACAGAACTGGAAATCACAAGGAATCCAGAAGGAAAACACAAGACTCAGACCTTTCACAGATTCTTATCATTATTGAGGAGTTATAATTCCTGTGCACAGAATCTACCAGCAAACCATGATGCCCAGTTGTGTCACAGCAGCCTCTAAATGAAGGAGGTGATGGGGAGGTGAGAGTGGACATCCTTGTCTTTGTGATTTTAGAGGACAACTCTCAGTTTTCACCACTGAGTATGATGTTAGCTCAGGCTTTGTCATATATGTCCTTTATTATGTTGAAGTACTTCCTTTCTTTAAAATTTTTTTTTTATTTTTTTTTATTTTTTTTATTTCAGAGAGGAAGGGAGAGAGAGAGGGAGAGAGAGATCAATGATGTGAGACAGTCATTGCTTGGGTGCCTCCTGCATCCCTGCCCCCCTCCCCACACACACACAAACTGGGGATCAAGCCTACAACCTGGGCATGTATGTGCCCTTGACTGGAATTGAACCCATGGGCCTGCAGTCCACAGGCCAATGCTCTACCCACTGAGTCAAACCAGCTAAGTAGTATTTCTCTTCTAAATCCATTTTGTTGAATGTTTTAATCATAAATGGATGTTGTATGGTATCAAATACCTTTTATGCATCTATTGATAAGGTAATATGATTTTACCCTTTGTTTTGTTAATATGGTATATTACATTAATCGATTTGCATATGTTGAAAGAGTGATTTTTTCTTTAAGTGTGTAACAACATTACTCTGGTTTTGAGTTACAATACTGCAGAATTTATTTACTTATTTATTTTTAAAATATATTTTATTGATTTTTTACAGAGAGGAAGGAAGAGGGACAGAGAGCCAGAAATATTGATGAGAGAGAAACATCGACTAGCTGCCTCCTGCACACCCCCTACTGAGGATGTGCCCGCAACCAAGGTACATGCTCTTGACAGGAATCGAACCTGGGACCTTTTAGTCCGCAGGCCAACACTCTATCCACTGAGCCAAACCAGTTTCGGCAATACTGCAGAATTTAAATTGTATGGAAAATCAGAGTCTTTGCTCTAGATTTTGCAAAAGCATACAAAGTGCTGGCTGTAGAGTAGAAGGATCTGCATTCTGTTTTAAAACCTTTAAACCATAAACTAGTGTTCAAAGGAGCTCAAAGGGCCTTACATTCATGCACTCACTTGTTCATTCATTCAAGAAATATTTATGGGTTTTGGACCAATACTGTTGTTGCTCTGCTCACATCTCCTCTGCCATCCCTGTGCATATCAACAGCCTCTGCTTTTAAATACCAGCAACCTTCTTCCCCACAGCTTTCTCCGGGGTGTGGGCTGGAAATGCCAGGAGCAGCCTTTGACCAGTGATGGATATGAGTTGGTGAATAAATACTCTGGCACCCTCTTTTCTCAGTTTGGGTAACTCTGGGGCATACTTGACATGGTCTCCCAGAGTTCTTCAATGGATTAGACTTCAGCTGTCCACGGTGGGACTTGTTGATGCTGCACTATCTGTTGGCTGTCTTCCCTTCCTTGTCTCATGTCTTGACTTTCTTCCTGGTGATTTCTGGGATCACCTTCCAAATAAACTGGCATCATTCAAATCTTCCTCTCAAGGTCTTCAGTGGAGGAGATCCAACTTAAGGTGAATTTTTACCAGAATCAAGGCATTGAGCTATGTGTTCAGGGAACATAATGATGCATCAGATAGAGCCACTGACTCTCAAGTCCAAAGTCAGA